ACACACACACACACACACACACACACACACACACACACACACACACACACACACACACACTTTCCTGCTCCATGTGTAACATTTAAAATTTCATGCATTTGCTGAGTTGAGTGGTCCCACAAATTGCAGCTATTTGTGGTGCATCAAAGGATGACAGCTGAATGAAGACAAAGCATGACAAGCAAAATGAAGTACACACAGGTAATGACTTCAATTAAACACTGAAATAGCAGTGTACCGAAATTATCCCTTGTTGTCCTCTTTTTTTTAAAGAGACTGTCCCACTTCACTGACCTGGTTAAGCGACATGTCTGCACAGAGAGAAAAACTCTAATGATGCTGCAGTTTTTATGTTCTGTGTGTGTTTAAGTGGGCAGCGGGTGACAGTGGTGGGTTTTGATGCAGCTACAGGTATATCTGTAGATTGATTATATCTACATAACAGCATTTTCACATTTTAAAATGTGGCATTCCAAACGTATACCGTTGTTAAACAATAACCACAGGTTTGTGCGCTACTTTTGAAGGTATTGTTCCTTGTCAGTTCTGCAGAGGTCACTGTTGCTTATTACTGATCCTACCTCAATATACTCTATTATTCACAGGAACAGAAATGCAAGCACTTTCCGGTGCCATGTAAGCCAAGCAGATGTGACATTTAGGAACTCTGTTGCAGCCAAGCTTGTCAGTGTGTCCTACAACTGACAGTGTGTCCTCCACTCTACATCCTGACACAGACCTGTGCTCGATCTCCCGGGCCACTTGGCGCTAATTCTCCTGACAGGAGCCGGAGGTCAGTGCTCATGGTCCCAGTCATGGATCTCTCAGTAACGGACATGAAATGATTCCTCAGCTGAAGCAAAAGTATGATGTAGACAAATCATTCATTCTTGTAAATAGAATTTTGCTAAGAACACTAACGCAATTATAATTATTATATATAATTACACTATTTATATTATTACATGATTATTACTTAGAATAATAATTATTATACAGTTATTACTTTATAATTAATTATTATACTTGCACTTCAAAAGGTTTTTCAGTTATCTGTTCACCTGGCAGTTAAAAAACCCCCAACAACAACAACAACAACAAATACAAACGTCCCCTTTTCTTCCCCTGCACTCCTGATACAATCAGCTAAATTCAGTTTGCCTGCAGGAGGTGTACAACTTTTAAGGAGTAAAAATACGGACATTTTTTTATTTTTTCTTGCACGAAAGGACAAGAATGCTGAAATACTGAAAACCGCCCCCAGGACAGAAATAGCTGCATTATACTTACATAACACAACTTGTAAGCATCTGCACAGATAGCTAATAATGCAAAGCTAGCAAAGAGTGTATGCCGACTCCAGCCCAGCAGCCAGACCCTGAACTTGTTGCTCATATTTTGAGCATTGTAGCCTCCATTTCTACCTGTAAATGTTCCTACAGTAGAGTCACTGTGGCAACCGCTTTAAGGTCTCTTTTGGCTAGCTATATCTTTACTTCATGTTCATATATAAATGCTAAAATGAAAGATCCTGTGTTGGTCCTCATTAGTATAGAGATGTGTGTTGGTCTGTGGGACTATATCCTCAGGTTTATAAGTTACCTGGTCATTTTGAGACTATGCTTTTCAACTCATTTAACAGAGTAATGTGAAAGTAATCTAATAAGTAGTTTGACAAATTACTGAGTAATTAGTGAGTAATTAACTTACTGAATTTAACTGCTTTTGAGAAAAGTAACAAGCAGTGTATAATAAATTACTTTTTTGAGTAACCGTTGTTACGTTTTGCCAAAAACATTTCTGATATTTAGTGAAGTAATCTTAATTGCTGAAGGTTATTGTTAGATAGCTCGAGTTAGGCCTCAGAAACCAGTTTTAAACACAAAAGAATGTAAAAACCACGATTGCTCTACAATAGTGAATACTATAATTAGAAAATTGTGCTTGTGTTGCACACACTGCTTTTTTCTGGGATCAAAGAGAGAAAAATGTCAGATTTAAAATAGATCCCAACCAACAGGGATCAATGGAAAAGCTGGTATTTTTAGTTCAATAGCTGGCATTTGATACTAAAATTACTGGAGAAAAACAAGGAACTTTTATCTGTGAACAACATCCTGCTGGAAAAGACTCCTACACAGTGGAGAGTCGCAGATGTGCCACTGTAAGGTGGCACGTACTAACTTTAATGAGCTTACGGTCTCAATATGGATTTGTGCGCTGCAACTGCTTGACACATTCGGTTCAGTTCAGTTCAATTTCATCCAGTTCAGTACAGTTATATTCACATAACTCCATCTCACAACCACAGTCATCTCAGGGCACTTAACACTGTAAAGTAAAGACCTTACGGTATTATAGAGAAAACCCAAAGATCCCCTTTGAGGAAGCACTTGGCGCGACAGTGGTTTGGGACAATAAAACCTCATTTATGCAGTAAGACATAAATGTGGCTTTGCAGAGAGTCATAACGTTATATAGGCTTCACATATTGTATATTACCATTCAAAATCAACTCTGCTAGTGGGGCTGGTTTATTGACAGCCTGCAGCAAGACCATATAGTGAGTGCAAGACTCCTGATGCTCCAGATGTACTTCATTAAGCATTTATTTATTAAATCTAATATATTACAAAGGACTGGAAACTCAATGGAGATAAGACTTCACAATGTAGGCTCCTGGTACTCTTCACATTGCAGAGCTAATGGAAAATTACCAAAAATGAATCAGCTGTGCTGTAACTGCATTGTTGAATACAGTAAAATAGAGTACACATGTGTCATGTTTAATAAGTAGCTTACTCAGACACTCTCAAGGACTTTTATTTCAATTTAATTAGGATATTATTCTCTACTTTTCTATTTAGTGACTTACAAAGCTTACAGAATTTACATGGGTCCCAATTCTACATAAATGAAAATACTGTGCATGATTTCCCTACACACTCAACTCTGCCAGACCCAGCACATTGCCTGGGGACAGCCTTGTCAGTCATAGCGCGGAGTGGGAATGAGGCTGAAACGTATAGAATGTTTAGTGCTTTGTCTGGACACAGGTCTGTCCTTGCCAAGCAAATTAAACAAGTTTCGTCCTTGACTGGAAAACTTCCAGGAAAACAGAGCTGCACTTTTCATCAAACAATAAGCCAGATGTGTGAGAGGGAGTACTCCAGTATACCGTGCTAATGAAGACGCAAGGAATCTTTGATATACATTTAATGGTAACTTTAAACCATGTATACATTAGCACAAAGAAGGATTTAAAATCCATGTACTTTGTGATGTAGTAGCTCAGTTCTGGAACGACACATGGAAAAAAAGCACTATTCAATCAACAGTTTAATGGACATTATTGTGCAGGCTGTGCAACAAAGTAAAGCCCAACATACATTTTTTTAGAGAGCATGTTCATTTTACCAAGTGCAATTAATGTTTTCCAACAGGATAATAAAGACTCGTTATCCTTGAAAATAAAATAATTTCTTGGGGACAAGCAGTTGTCTCATTTTCCATTACAGCAGTGGAAAAAGTTTCAGGGAGTAATGATAAACCCTCGCCTCAACAACAGCCTGATTTTCTCGATTTGAAGCAGAGGGGCAGCTGCAGATATGGACTATAAAAACCCAATTTGAGAATAGAAGCCTATCCGGTGTGTCAACGGCTCATGTCTTGGGTAACAGTTGGAAACCTCAGCCCAGAGAGTTGTTCAGAAACAAAGTTACTTGATGAATTAACAATACAGTGCTCTTATTGAGTGAACGATTCTGTTTTACTTCCAGGAGCTTAGACAAGGAATCTAAGGCATGCCTTTGTGTTTTCCTTTCTAGACAAAGTATCCCTGATTACTCTGGTGTTATGTCACTTCACTGCACGTTGTCAAAAGACAAATTACATGGTGAGACAGCCAGAGAAATGGGTTTTGCATGTGGGAATGGTCTTCAAGCACCTCACACTAGTCACTGTAACTCAACATCTGTTCAAAGAGATCATTTCAACAGCCTCCCAGCACATCTAGTGCACTTTCACCAAATAATTATCTGGGACATTGTTTATATGTGACCTCTCTCTTACCAACACTGCATGTCAGATTTTAATTGTGACTACTGTTCTGAATGATGAACGTTTGACAGAAGTGATAATGACTGCAATTCAAAACTCTTTTGAGTAAATGAATCCTGGGTTTAATCACTTCTCCTTTCTAGTAATTTTCCTATGAATTCAATGCTGGCACTTGAGTTAAATATAGTAGTCAGTCAGTAGTCATCAAGACTCCAAAGCAGGGCACAAAAATAGACTAAACATTGAAGATGCAATTGTGAATTCAAAAGGTCTTATCTCCCCCCATCTGTATTTTGGATTATCGCACTGGTTCACTTGGGACCAAAAGAGGTTCTTCCATTTAGATTTGCTTACAAGCAGCAGAACTGGCTTCTATTTACAGTTTGTTGAAAACACAAAAGGTAAACTTTTACTAGTCCATGTTTCACAATGTTTCCTCCATGCTTGCCAGTGCAGTGCTTGCAAAACCATGTTTGTTTCAGAGTCCAAGTACTATAGAATTTTGTTTGCAACATTAAAATATATGTGTATATAAAAAACTAAAATTTCTTCTATCATGTCTATAGCACGGTCCAGAATCATCGCTTCATTATGGTTCAGGGGTTGAATGGTTAAGAGTGCCGCAGACCACCTTAAAAACCAGGATATCCCATTGGGCATCCCTAATCTAATAAGAAAAAACTGATGTATGTTGTTAAAATTTATTCAAAAAACAAACCACAGAGGCTGTTGGCCAGAAATTGCTAATGCTACCTAGTCATGTGCAAAATGTTAAAGCCAATGTGTGACCCACCTGCCACTGGGACATTTTGCATTAATGTTTTATTGATTATTGCATTAATTGTTGTTTAGTTGTTTTGTACTGCTGAGGTTTTATACATTTCAGTTACCGCTAATTAAAGAGTAGTAAAGTAGTTTATTTATCATTCTTTTGTAAGCTAACATCACAAAAGCTACAGTGGGTAGTGACGCAAGTGTGACTTGGCAAAGGTTTTACCCCAGGTGCCCTTCCTGACAGAGTCCCAAAGGCAATAGTGTTTCCTCCTGGGATCCTGGGAATCTTCCGCTTGTCATGTGTAAACCACTACACTATTAGCATATAAATTTGAAAAAAATAAATAAACAAAATTATAATTCCATGTTAGGGCCTTACCCTGTGCTTATTTAGCTGTAAGTGACATTTATGTTCAGGAAGTTTCCATTAATATAACCATAGTCGTTACTGTTATGTTCAATGCCCCAACTGTGCCACGATAAGCGCCATGCAAATGCTTTACACAAATCAGAATTCCTTGGTATTTGATTCCCAGAAGCTGTCGCCTTCTGTGTAATTTAAATATGACATGGCATAACAAATTTAAATAAGACATTTGTTTATTCTACCAAGAAGTATTTTTACATCGATATGGGAATGAATGCCAAAGGGATGCTCGCATCAACACCTCCCTACATGGCTCCACGAAGCTTTCGACTACTTCCGGCCCTCCATTCGACGGTTTAAACCAAGCCTGGGTATTTTTGGTTCTTGAGTCTCTATCTATAGCGTTGCCTGAAAGGGTGAGGAATTTTGTTTTGTTTTGTTTTTTTTAAAAAGGGGGAAAAACGGTCTGGGGGGTAACTGATGAAACCCAAACAGCAATAAAATGAAAGCAAGACAGAAGAAAGAAAAGCTTCTCGTGTGTTGGTAGATCAAACAAGGGCAGCAGCTGGAAAGAGATTCCAGCTGGATGCCCATGATACTCTGTTTCTGCTAGATGTGTAATACACTTTCAAATGGCTGTAGGGATTTGACTACAGCCATTACTACAGCTGCTGGTCTCCTAACCCCAGCTACTGAGATTGGTGAACAAACATTGTAAAGACAGTGAGGGACAGAAAGATGGGATGCAGAGGTCTACTTTTATGGGAAGACAGTTCTGATATCCCACAAACTTAAACTTTATCATAAGTTATTTTTAAGGTATTTTCTTTCAGACAACTTTTCCATAAGACGTTTGCAGAATGGCAGCGAACCTAACATAAACACAGGCACAGTTATTGAGAATTTATTGTATTCTATCATCTAGAATCAATGTCGTCTTACTTATTTTCTCAATCCTTTTCCTGTTTCCAGCAGGAGCTTGTAATAGCACATTAAAATAAATATATTGAGTAAGAGCTGTAAGAAGCAAGATCACACCTGAATCAGAAGCTGAGGCTGTCTGATCTTTCACCATTAACTCCTCTGACTATTGGTTGCCATAAATTAGATTACTTGATGTAAACTCTGGAATTCTTCAATTTAAAGGTGTGGTGGGTGTTAGCACATGGCAAAAAACACTTGGCACAAAAGGAAGGAATAAGCTCTTCACTTCCATAACTAATTATTACCACGCTCACTAGGCACGCAAGCCAAAAAAAAGAAAAAGAAAAAAAAGAGCATGCCTTGTTCTGTCTTGGTATTAGAAGTAGGAGGAAGTCTGTGAAAAATAAAATACTTTTCCAGTTTTCCCCTTGCTCTGGTGTCTTACTTGCCAGCGAGGACCAACGCTTTAGCAGAAATGTCTTTGTCGGGACCTGTAGAAGTTCTGCCTTTCCCACCCTAGACCTGCCTCATTAGAAAACTTGTGCAATTTTCTCCAAAGAGTGTCAACTTACAGACACAATAAACGTAGCCCTCAAAGGCAGAGATGTGAAAGGAAGTCATCATGTAACACTGTAGCAGGAGTATTCCCTAAAATCAACACTGAAATATTTTCTAGTCCAATTGCTGAAAAAAGTAATTATAGCTGACAAGTACCTACTGTGAGATGATATGCTTAAAATAAAATGTAAAATTTCATTTTCAGGGAAGCTGAGGAACCCGGGAGAATTCTGTCTTATTTTTTTAACCCTGTAATGTCTGTGATTGATTGAGGACAGTCACACCAAGACCAGCCGTTATCCAGCAATACGTGACCATATTCCAGTCTTAGCGTTACATTACAAGTATGCTGCAAGTGCGCTGTAAGTTAGCAAGCTGGAATATCTGTATACTGTACTCTGTTTTGAACAAAACAAAGACAAATAAAGTAGAACAGATGACAACATACAGGTCTGATAATAAAATGGTTATTAAATGCTGGCAAAATTTCATAAGGAATCAGATCAGACTGAGGAAATTTATAGAAGCTGATTCTCTCCAAGTACAACAGAAAGGAGTGTGTTTTTCATTTTGGAGCCAAGGCTCATAAAACACGTCTGATGTTGTGCTAGTGCCTTTAGTATGTATACAGTAATCGTCACCCACGTGAATGTATTCATTTGACCTACTTTGAAAGCTCAGTTTTAAAACAGGTGAACACGTCGCCTCACACAGGTTAGCCAGTTACCCGTCTCTGTGATGAATGAATCAAGTTTTTACCAAGAAAATGATGATTCAAAGATCAAATGATTGTGCTCTGGGGGACTCATACAAAACGGACATAAGACATGTATCAACACGTGACAGCTACAAAAAGACATTTACAGTAACATTAAATGCTTTGTGCAAAATACCACAACAGGCAAACACAGTTTGTTTCCATTCATTTTGTGACAAGCAGAAAAAATAAACTAGAAGATACACATTACATGCAGCTGTTTTCTGTGTGCACAGCAGCTGTGCGGCAAATTCTCTCTCACATACACACAGATAATCTGCAATTATTCCAAGTCCACTTTCGTTTGGGGAGCTGTTTACCTGACATGTTTATAGATCATAATCACACTTGGAATGACGACTGGGAATTATTTATATGATCAGATCTGCATGTGTAATAGAACGATTATATAAAGTAAATAGGACAAAAAATAGCTACGATAGCATATTTAGGATAAAAGGAGTGCAATTTAAAGAATTAAGTGGTGTAAACACACTGTTTTGGGGTTCGGGTTTTTTTGGAAATCATATGACTAGTCTTGATGGTTATCTGTTGGAAGCTGACAGAACTGAGATCAGTGGCATCAAAATGACTATAAAGATGAAGAGACCGAGCCTAAAATAGAGTATCTGATCAAACGGAAGATGACACATAGTGGCTATAGTAAAAAACAAAGTTTTGTTTTTGGATGCCACTAAAATAGGGATTGTGCTTCCCCATGACCTGAGGTCAACCTACAGTGACATGCTGCAGCTTGTAGGATCCTCTACTGAGCAAGCACGTCGCCACCTTAGTGACTCTGAAAGACAAACAGCTTCCATTTTATTCAAATTTCATAAGTGGCTTCGAGCAAAAATACGGAGACACTTTCACACTGAATGACTCACCACGGACTAAAATTCTGATGAGCACTGAAAACACGGCTAAACCCTTAAATTATTAACCCCGTTAAAGACTGTGTAATGAAACATGATTTACAGCTACACGCACTGCTTTTAAAAGTATAAAGCACTGTGATACAGGAACAGAACTGTGACCTAACACAAGCGTGTTGTAGCCAGTCACCAGTTTTAGAGACCTTTTAATAAAACGACACTTTGGTCGTGTGAGGTGCAGGGATTAATTGAAAGCTTATTCTGTACACAAGTCCTTTCATTTGACTTCCATGCAATCCCGAAGTGCTGCCAAAACCAGATGTTTCTCTTTCAAGCTGACCACCTGAGAAGTCTTTTCCATGTGACAACCTAGCAGCAAGCTTTGACAAGCCGAGGGAATACTTACTTTCCCACACTTTTGTAATAAAGCTGCAGAACGCAAACTTAATCTCACTTGTTCCCGTTCTCCAAATCTTTCTCTTTGTCACTCTCTCTCTGTCTCACACACACACACAAAGTGGAACACACGTTACACAGAAATCATCTGTCATTTAATTTTACCTTTAGTGGGATCACCTTCTGTCTCCTTTTGTCCTTTCTTACCCACCCTCTTTCTCCCTTTTTTATCTTTCCTCTTTCCGTTCTCTGTCATGCTGTCAGATGTTAGTAAATCCTTAGGAAAAAAACCAGGTAGTCCTTTTTGGGAACGTGTGGTAAGTGGGCACCACCAGACTCTGAGCCTGTTAGAGCGTTTCTCCTCCTATATAAACTGGCTCCAATAAGAGGAGAGAGGAGGGAGAGAGAGGAGCAGGAAGGGGCAATACTGTAGAAGGAGGAGGGAAGAAAAAAGTTGGGGGAGGCAAAGAAAGCATTTCCCATTGCTTTAAGGCAATCAACTGTTGTCTTACTGGATCTATCAGATAAGTACAGCGTCTTCCAGGCCCAGAAGCCAAAGCTGAGGACAAAGTGAGAAATCGAGTGAGTACACGTGAAAATCTGAAGTCAGCCCATTCAAGCTCCATGGCTCTGTTTCTCCTGTCCCAGCAGCATCCTCTCATTTGTAATGAAGCGTGCAGAAAGTGAAGTGAGACAAGTTAAGCTGTCCACTTTGCACTGCTGACCTCAGCCACATAATTCAGGCAGAGACTTGCCCCTTACCAGGTTGATGTTTGGGGTCCCAAAACACTTCACATCTGTTAAACATTTGTTGAAAACAGATTCAGTGGATGCGTGTAAGAGAGCGGTGTGTGCGCGAGGTGCCAAAATGTCAGATCCCAATCGGCGACAGACTGCTTCTTGCAGAACTACACAGAAATCGGCTCTGCCGGTCTGCTCCCCTTCCTCTCCTCTCTCTGTCTGTTAGCACCTCTAAGTATTACAGGCAAGTTTGAGCTTGTCTCCGGGTGTCTTTCTGCCTTTCACTGCCGCTGTTAGCCCGGTGTCATCAATGTCCACGCAGCAATAAGTATTACAAAGCCAGTTTTTACAGTAAAAGTAAAATTTTATTCGCACAGCGCCTTTCAAGATAAATATCAAAGTGCGTCACCACAAAAATGCTAGAACGTCAAAATAAAATGTCTGATATTTCCTTATCTCTGAAAGTTGAATGTGCATTTCAGTTTTTCATGCCTCTGTTGCATTCTGTGTATTCAAAGAATTTAGGGATTCATAATTTAGAGGAATTTAGGAAAATGGAGAAAGTTGAAAGTCAGTAGAGGTACATGTGTGGCTCCAAAAGTTGCAGAAACTTAAATATTAAATAGGCAATCACCGTCCTGCCTGACTCTAATATAAAAAAGGATATTTTTTCTCTTTATATTTGTGTGAAACAGCATTTAAAGCGGACATAACTACAACATCAGTTAATCTGTTATCTTTAGTTGACATAGCTCAAGATGTGACTATGTAAAAAAAAGAAAAAAAAAAAGAAAAATGTGCCTTCGAAACAAGAGCACAATGACTCAATGAAACTCATGTTTTAAAAACGAAATCTGTAGATGAGTCACATGTGAGAACATCCCGAGGTTGTCTCAGTCAAGCCTTCAGAGGATTCCTGACGCCGCTTGGGAGTAGGCGGCAGCAGCAGGGATTGAAAGGGGCAGCCGAAGGGTCATGTCTTAACAGGTCAGCTCACTCAGTGGCATAAGCTGTGGGCAAGGAACCTGGAGGGGTCGATTCAAGGCCAGTGTTTGACATGCCAGTAAGGTTTAAGGTGGAGATTTTTCTAGTTCAAAAACAAATGGCTCTTTCTGCTTTCCCTCTCTTGTTCTCAGTGACATAACAAATCAGCAGTTGAAGCTGTGTACTGTTAAGGGGATGCAGTATCACAGAAAACTGCCCCTTTACCACCTTTATCCCCCCCGCTGCCCCGCAGTCTCAAAACGCACTTCCTCCGCCTCTATCCTACAAGATGAGACTTGCTCAAAGTACTGCTTGAGTGTGGGTGGGATGGGATTGCGATTCATGCATCTGTTGTGTGCGCGAGTATTTGTGACGTCGGAACAAAAAAAAAAAAAGCGTGCCTTTTAGGATGACTTCATGCAGATTTGGGAGAAGATTAGTCTCTCAGGGCATCGCTCATCATGCTCTTCTAAGATCTCAGAATCTATTCAAACGGAGCCACGAGATGTAAATGAAACAGGATGACATCACCTATGAGGGCGTACTGTATTTAGCTATAGAGGCATTTGTGTGATGTTGATCTTGAACAGCAACATGTACCTTTAGGTTCTGTAAACATTTCTTTTAACGCGTGCTAAAATCTGCAGCGTAGAGTGTGGATGCAAACGAATGAGCTTTACAATCGCCTGCTTGCCACAAGTGTCTCCCATTGGGACGGTTACATAAAATATGCAAGAACTGCATGAGCATGCACATGAAAGTGAGGGGAGGCGGACTTGTAGTAGACAACACACTGTGAGGAAATTAGGTTTTTAAGAACCTAAGCTCTGAACAAGGTCTAGCGTTTTGTATATGACCTTGTGGAGTACAATGGAAGTCTGAAATAAACTCACATTTTACACACCCAAACTCAAATATGGTCATGAACATGTAGATCATGAACATGTAGATCTCTTCTTTTTTCTTTTCTTTTTTTCTACACTACTCTAAAGCATCTGCTGTTTTTCAGCAGCCGTGGGCTGTCCTTGGATTAGGGTCTGTAGGTGGAGAGACACAATAGACCAGTGTGGGAGTGGCAAAACTTTAAGAAATCAAAGAAAAAAGGAGCCAACCTCTGTAACTTCATACATAGATCCTCCATAGATATATGCCCTACCCATAAATGCTTCATAGATCCCATCTCTGGTTGTCTCCTAACCCCTTCATTGCTTCTCCCAGAAAAGGGAAGATAGCTTCCCTGCATGATGGAGCTGAGCTCCAGCCTCCTAACAGCAACATACCTGCACATCATCATTCTGATACTCCTTAAAAAAGCCCTTTCATAAGCACAAGAGTTTATCTCTTTAGACATAATGGCTTTAAACAGCCATTAGGTTTTACTGTTTACATCTGTCTGCTATTTTTTTTTCCAGCAAAGTGTATACTCAGGACTTAAAGCAAGGTAAAGTGCCTGCTTTTAACAAACATCTATATTTTTGATTGACAGAGGTGAGGCAAAGGCAAGGGGGAGAAGAAAGAGGACCAAACCTTCTACGAGAAGCAGAAGTAAAAAAGAGCTAGAATAAATAGAAAGCATGGGAAAAAAACAGCAGTAATGGAGGAAGAGAAGGGAAGACAGGGTTAAAAAAAAAAAGCATGAAAGAGGGAATTTGTGAGTGAAACTAACGTCCCTTTCAACAGATGACAGAAAACAACCCCACCTGCTGCATTCACCTTTTTAACAAGGCATCTGTTCCTCAGCTGACCACACGCTGAGCTGTGCTGCTGGAATAAAAAACACATTGTGCCTGAAATAAAGACATGCTGTGTGGTAGTAACCAAAGAGTTTGCAGCAAACCCAGATTTGTCTGCATGAATTTGACAGCTGCTGTTTGCTCATGTGCATGTGCTACAAATGCCTGCACAACCGGACAACGTGTGGCCAGCAACAGCCGAGGAGGGTCGAGACGCCATCGATTAATGTCACCTTGCGAGCTGCTGAGTGGAGTGGAGACGTGACACAAATCAATGTCGGTGACATCTGGAGTTCCCAGAAAGGGGCTGGTTTCTCAAGGTCAGCTGCGCCAAGGTCAACGGAGATTCCAAATCTGAGTGTTACTAATGAGTGTGCTCAGCAACAGCTGGGATCGGGATCACAGAAAAGAAGCCACAAGTTGCTTGTGCTGCCTCATTTACAGCATGGCAAAATGGTTGGATGCATTCAAATCAAGCGTGTCCGTCTGTTATTTAAGGGGAGCTGCCAGAAACCAGAGGGAAACGACAGCAAAGAACACAAGTGTTAAAACAAGGAAGTGATCCTGTGTGGATTCAGCTCTTTGACGTTTCTGCAGCACATAGCTGTCACCATGGCAACCGCAGTCTTAAAGGTAGCAACTAGAGTATGTGAGAGAGGGATGTGGAGGGGCGGAGAGAGGATGAGAGACCGGGAGAGCGAAAGCAGAGAGGATGCTAGTGAGAAAGTAGGAGATAATGTGCGAGAAATACAATGGGAGGAAGAGTGAGGGAGGCTGAACTGAAAGACAGGTAAGATAAGAGGGCGTGGGGGGACGGAGCAACACCGCGAAACAAAGAAACGCAGAGGGAAGCATCTTCCGAGCAGCTGCAGCCTGGCCACTGTATCGCTCTATAAGAGAGATGTCCATGAGTAAGCCTGTGCCAAGCCTGCTGGGAAGCACTGCAGTAGCATCTCAGAGAGGGAGAGATGACAAACATCAGCACTGAGCATGCTCCACTCTCAAGGCCACTGAGAAAATGAGATTTCAGCTCTTTAGCCTCCCAGTTTGTTCAGTTCTCCCGCTCTGTACCAGTCTCCATCCTTCACTAGCTCGCTCTGACAGACACGTGACATCACCAACGCCTCTCACAGCTTTAGATGTGGCTCCACAGTGGACAAAATGTGACTGGTGTGTCTGATAACTGATTGATTTAATGGCAAGAGGCATCTTCCCCACTTACGGCCACGCTGACTCACACTGTGACAGGTTTGATTGCGGCTGAGAGGAACAAGAGACGAGCACAGCAACTCATCAGCCGGTGGGGCATGATACTGCAATAACAGTCCAACCCTGCCACCAGATTTGATCTCTGTGCCTCTCAACTCTAACCGACTGTCTTCTTAATCTGGACGGCTGCCAGAACGGAAGAGGAGAGAGAATGGCAGCCATACATTAGCGTCAGACCTACCATTAAGCAGATTTTGATTTATGTTACGTTTTGCTCTTAATGCCTGTACTGCAGGCAGACAAACACCTACTCACACAGATGTACTGTTGTGTGTGCTTTTCCTTTGTTTCACAACTGAAAGCTGATTCCTTTTTTTTTTTGGCCTTGCTCATGGTAATGTGATGAAGTGTGGGGTTATGTGTGCTTGAGAGCAAGAGAGAGACAAAAATTGTGCGTGCATTGAATGTGTTGCGTGTGTGTGCAGGAAACTGTACAGAAAGCTGTACAGGATGTCAATTGCCTCTCGACTTCCAGTGGGGCTAAACTGACAAACTCTGTAAAACAATTTTCTGCTCCCTGATGATGAAAATAAATATTAAAGTCATTGAATTTCACGTTCGCTAGCCATATCCTTTCAGCTGGATAAGAATAGCTCATTGCTGAGATTAAAATAGAACAAACATTTTAAATGACAGATGCTGTCTGAGTAGCTGAGTATGACTTTGATCCTCTTAAACAAAAAAATCCGCTCTATCTTCTTAAGGTTGCCTGATTGAATCTCTCTCCCTCTCTCCTCCTCTTGTATTCATCCACCATTTAAACATATTTATTTTCTGAGTCTCTTTGTCTGTCTCGCGCTCTCTTTCTCTCTGCCCGTCTCCCTCCCTTCTGCCAAAGGAGACATAAAGAGGTTTGTGTGACGGAGCAGATTGACTTGAAGATAGAGGCTGGAAGCAGATCTGCTCTTCCACCTCCTCATTCTGCTCTATCTCTCCTGCTCTCACCCAGATGAATAGACAAACAGTCTCCCACATGCTCTCACAGTTTATCAAACACACACCCACATAGAACGAGGTCTTCACGCAAACACATATGTGCACTCTCGCCAGAGAGAACAACACACACTCAATCTAAGTGTCCTCAGGCTGACAAAGTATACACTGTCACACTCAAATACAAACAGACCCCCTCAAACACGCTCGTACGCATACGCATGCAAACACACAGGTGCATCCGCATGTAAATAAAAGATGCACGTGGGTCACTGATGCATTTCAAATTGACCTTTTTCCACTCGTAGTGTAGTAAATACAAACCACTTGCATGTAGTTTACTAAAACGGACCTTTAATTTGCCACATCTGAATCACAAGATAGTGGGGTTTTTCCATTGCGCACATTTTAGCTCTTAAACTGACAACAACAAAAAAAAAATCCCCATCTTACATAGAATTATGAAATACATATAGAGCTATTAAATTGTTATATCTGTTTCTATAACCACACAATAATAACACCAATACCCCCAAATTTCCATGACTGACAAACATTTACATTGCGGATTTAAATAAATCATGTGTAAACATATCTGAACTTTTTTTTTAAGTGAATCCACCAATGACGTTTTCATACATGGTTTAAAACCGAAACATAAATGTACACATGGGAAAACACGGGAAGGTTGTTTTCTTATCAGCACCCCCCCTTGAAAAACATACGCTCATCCGTTCTCTGCTTTGCATTCTTCACATCAAATCAAATTCCTTTTGTGCTCTGCACTTTTCTTTATCTCCAGAATGTGCTTTTAGAGAAGCACAAACATGTCACAATGAGGACACTGTGAAGTGTTTCACACACACCGAATGCAGCTCCTTGGTCAAGTCATTTGCGATTCTGTTTTTTGCCTCGTGGCTGAGCTTGGGCTTATCGAGACTCTGTCTTATCTCTTTGTTTGTTTTTCACCAATCTAGGCTTTTCCTGGAAAACAGGCCACTACGCATGTGTAAACTTAGATCATGCTTTGGCGGCATGAGCCCAAACCAAGGTGGTCTCAAATTGAGTGAATTTGATAAGTGGGCAAGAGAGCTGGCCCAGCTGATGGTGCCAGTATGGCCTCACACTGAGCTCTGGCAAGCCAGATGTAGCTGACAGGAAGCCAAGGCTGTGGTTGGGTCATCTCGAAGCGACAAGATGACTGCAAAGGCACACACACACACACACACACAAACACACACACAGAAAAAAAAAACCCTCTCTCTAACTCTCTACAAGCAGTTAAATCCAATGCCGAGCACAGCAGCGACTGACAACCCCGGCACTAAGAAGGAGGTCAAAGCTAGCTAAAGCTCAAGCTCAAGGCGAGCCACCACCAGCTTAGTGATGGAGGTGCGGTACCAAAGCTTTAGCTTAAATTCTAATAGTTGAATTTCAGCCAAGAGTATTTATTATTGCTCAAAAAGCCAAGTAATAATAATAATATCATGCTCTACCAGGTTTAGATGGATAAAAATGAAATGCTAAGACACTGGAGACAGGGTCAGAGTTTCACTGACTGCAGTGCAAAACTAAGGTCAAATAATTATCCAGTATTTTAACCAGAATGACCTTTCACAGTTTTAACAGGGCAAACAGAGAAGTCATCTACAGGGATATTTTTCAAGGTACGCTTTATGTTGTTTTGTATTGCTGGCTTGCCTACAGTGGTTTCCTGGCCCATGGCCATTTGCAGTATGATAACTCCTCGCTTCTAAGCCTAATGTCATGAAGACAACAAGGGAAGGAAAAGAAACATGCCTAGACAATGTGTAGTAAAAGTACACATCCCAACAGATGTGATGGGGAAAAAGCGGAAACGAGGCTACGGGGCTCACACTGCAGGGACTTTCTGTAACACTGATCTTACTGGCTTTTACAAGTACAACAGACCACTGTGAGGAATGCTGCGTTCTCATTTAGGGTAAAACACCCCCAGAGTTAAGGGGTATCAGTATCACAAGGGAGATATTTCCTCTTTTGTCTACATTTGCTGCAGCGAGGTGATGGTAGTGTGCTGGTCTGTGGGCCAGCTGGGACACATCTCAGTTTCCTTCTGCACACACACACACTGAAGCTTGCTCTACGCTGCTCGCTATCTTTCAACAACAAGCTGAGCAACGACCAGACGGAAAGAGGTCCTATTTGTGCAGGAAGATAAATACACTTCTGCACCCAGTCCTGTCCCCTCCAGATTAGAGCAACACAATAATGAGCAGGAGCACTGGTGGAAGGTCAGAAGAAAGCAAGGCTAAAGGACAGAGGAACAGCCAACGACGAAAACACACGCCCTGGCATGCATCACACGCGCAGGAGTAATCACAAACAGACATGCTTGCTTTTTACCTTTGTAGAATTTCAGAAATTTTTAATGATTGCCTAAATTTTCTGAAAAACCTTGGGGGTTGGGGCGGGGGGTGGGGTTACTATCCTACGTCATACTTCCCAAATCATTCCACTGGAAAATGTCCACAGTTTACAACTTGATGGCGTCACAGTTTGTAGACCAGTTCTCGGACGGCACACAAGGACTGCTTTGTGCGTGGGCGTCAAGTATCTAGTCGTCTTATTGTGTGATGAATGAAATATCCGTATATATATATTGTAAATACTGAGGAATACAACGGTTGAGTCGTCGACATGTTATTGCTGGTCGAGTCAGCAGCGTCATAATCTTCTATCAGCTCCTTCTCGGTATTACGTTCAGTCACAGACCACAGAATTCTGTTGTAAAGTAAACATCTGTCCCAAGGTCGGAGACCCCTGTTGAGGGAGACAGGATTTTATCTTGGTCCACTTCCAAACACCGCTAACAAGCCATTCCATTCTGTGTAAAGTTATTTCATGTTAAGACACACATCAATCCACACCTACAACATACCTGAGGAAACAAACCTTCTCTCAGGATATGTACTGTGTGTGTGGGGTGAACATGGCCGGACACGTCCCTTAAACACACCGGGAGGCGCCCAGCAGGAGTGCCAGCAGCCCCTCTTTTCAACACTTCGGCACGCTGCACACAAACACCGTTGCCCTTCCCATGGTCCTTTTGTTCCCTATCATTTTGTTTGTTTATTTTTGGTTGAAGTTCCTGTCATGGACACCATCAGCTTTCTTTGCTAAAATGCATATTTGGCTGTCATATTACACAGTTTTCGGACAAATGTTTATTTCAGTCTATTAAATCTTACAGAGGCTGCATGTCAGTGTTCACGCTTGAATCACGGCGCAAATGCAGGCAAGGTTTGAAGCTAGCCATTCTACAACCAGCTGACGTAGGAAAGCGTGCATATGCTTGCAGACTCAGAATTATAGCAAATGTATTTAGAGAAATTCAGCCAATTATCCAAAAGGATAACACGCACAAGCACCGGCAAGCAACAACATCGAGCTGGGAATTTCTTTTTTCCTCGATCTGCATGCATTCCCCATAAAAACAACAAAACAAAAAAGTGTTCAGATTCAGATGAGGAAAGGATGAACTATTTCTGTATGTACCTTTTAAGAAGGTGGACTGAAATGTGAGATATCCAAATGAACAAAACAACTAAACTACTCTGAGAGTTATGTGCTCCACGTTCTAAGCAACACTCTGTTCCCAGTGACTGAACAAATTTTACTACCGTGACATGACCTAAAAAGAAGTACAAAACGCTGGTACGTCTGTCATCAAGTAGTGACTAAATAAAACCTGCCCGAATCTACTGATAAAACCAGCAGACTACAAGAAACTGATGCTTGATGAGAGTGAAGCAGTAGCCCGGGGCCTATAGTAATTGAAGGCCAAAGAGAGAGAGAGAGAGCCTCAGTGAAAGGTTATCATCCGTACTGTTCTTTATTGCCACGTTGTTTCCTGTGAAGCTACCGGACAATTTGTTGAGGTGATAGTGTAATGAAGAATCGCCCAGAGCTACAAATGGTTAACTGATGAGTAGGTTAAAAAAAATGCTGCTGCAATAAGTCAAATTAAGGCTGTGAATACTAAAATACACAAATCACAAATGAAGTCATGTTTGCCACTGCTTAATGCAACCTGCTTCTTACTGTTGCCCAATAATAAGAAGCAATAATAAGCTGTACTATAATTCTTCCAAAGACTTGGCACTTTCTTGACATTTTACACTGTCAGTTGATACTGTTCCTCTCCTTCTCCAGCCAAAACAAGCTACACGGCTTTGGCTACATCGAGTCATAATTTCCAATGAAAGAGCGAGAGTTGCATTTGTGTTTTGATTATAGTGTTTGTGTTTTATTTTAGGGATTAAGTAAGACTGTGTTAACTCCCGTTCGCCACCACAGTGTCACTGACATTACAAACACAGTGCGCACGTATGTATACTTAAAAACTTGTGTGGTGCTCTACAGTAACCGAAGCTAGAGCCAAAGCTAAAGATGCCGCCGAAGACGTTAAGCTGTTTACACAAACCTTTTATACCTTGTGATTGAGGAGCTCTATTCTCGCCTATAAACCAGTTTATGGAATGTTTATGGAATGTGTTTTCTTCCATGATACGCCTGCAGCTACGAAGATCGACAAGCGAAATGTGTGCCTGCCAGCTATGCCCTCCCTCTGTGGACTGAGCAATAGTAGACTACTTCTGCAACATGCCAAAACAGTGTTGATCTCAAGAGTAATTTGTGTGAGCACAATCATGACCACAGGCCTCCAGCTTTAAGCAATTATTCTGTTCATAAGAATTATCAACCAAAAGTGAATCTAGTGCTCTGTCGGGCTGCAGAAACAACAAGTATCAGACGCAGGGAAAAGAGTAACCAGTTTAGTATTGGGGCAAACCAAGAAGCTTCACGAGGCTTCCGATCAAAAAAAAAGGAGGTTACCTGAGTAGTTTGTGAGTTATGCCGTTCACATGTATTAATCCAAAGTGATATTAATTCATATGTGATGTGATTAACCTGTTGATCGATGTAAAGAATGCAAAATCTGTATATAACAAAGTTAATAGCCCAGAATTATTTCCCCCAATTTAGTTGGAATGATGGATAAACTGTATGCAGTGCAGATTTCCAACATTGATCTACACTCTATGCCATTAATACAGATGGGCCACATTGTTTTTTTCAGTGTCAATGAATAATTAACTTCTAATGTTCTGTTGTTCTTTGCTCCAAACAAAAAGACTAGTCTGCAGTCTAATCTTTTTCATACTGAAATACAGCGTAAGTTAAAAAAAAATCATGTTTGTTTTACATTTATGCATGTGCAAAAGTCTTTGCTCATTTGTCATTTCTCTATATTTAACTTCCAAGAAGTCAGACTTTCTTATTTGTCTTTAAAAGTGGTCTTGAGCAATAATTCTGAAGGTCTTTGTACATTGGCTGCTTTTTCACTCATTTTCAGTCCAGTCCTTGTACCTGACCATTTTCAGAGGAATGTTTATTGTTTGTTAAGCCACTTAACACGGACCTGTGACTCATTCAAGCATGCAAAAGGCACATAACTCAAGGGATGAACCAGTGTTGTGTTGACACGTAAGAGACAAGTTAGGCACTTTGTTACTAACAGCCTGTTTCAAAATCACATAATTTGTTCTCATTTCTTTACTTTAATCTATGAAACAATCCAAAAATAACGCAGTTTTAACAGGCATAAAACTGGATTTTTGCACTAACAAAGTGATTCCCAAAGAGCTTTTAGCTGAAAACGTGCGTGTCCTTACAAGATTTGAGCAAAGTAGAGAACAAAAGAAGAAGTGGGAGGCCTAAAAAATGATACACAACAGATGACGAGTGTCTGAATGTAACGTGCTTAGGAAAGAAGGACGCAGGACCTGAGAGACGCATCGGTCCCTTCAGCTGATCCATCTACTGTTCAATGATGTCTCATTAGAAATGGTCTCAGTGGAAGGGTAGCTGTCGAAGAAACAGTCTCAAGGAGAAATGGCTGATGTATTACACAACTGGACCAAAAATCTGGCAAGAGGTGTTAATCCATATTTGAAATTTGTGTTTCAAATCATCAATATGTACTGAGGAGGTCAGGAGGGAGCTAAAACAGTGAGTATCTACAGCCATCTATAAAACATGGTAGAGGCTCCATCATGGTTTGGAGCCAAAACACAGTGCCAGTTCAGTAAAAACTCGTATCAGTCATGGATTGGCCCCCCAGATCCAGGATTTCAGCATTTTTGAAGCAGTGTAGGATCATCTTGACAGTGAACAGAAGGAAACTCCAAACCAGATAACATCCAATGAAGAGCTTTGCATGTCCTTCAAGAAGCCTGGAGAACTAGTCCTGAAGACTACATAAAGGAACTACAAGGAAACTTCCCTAAGGGGTGCAGGCTGTGTTGAAGAATAAATGTGGTCATATCAAATACTCACATTCAGGCTTGTTAGAAATTCTGTTTTGCCTTATATGCTGCATTTCTGTGTTTGCATATGTTTCAATAAATTCTGCAACTATTTCACATTTTCTGAGAGAAACAAGGGGTGGTAACCCACAGCACTGTATATGTCTCATATTTAGACTTCACGTTTAAAAATAGGATCTTGTCTCTTTTTATTTACTGATTTCTTATTTAATGATAATACCAAAGGAGTTTAAGAGGTTATTTTTGGTGACAGCCTTTCATGGCGTGCACAATATAAAGAAAAAAAACACGTTTTAAATATTTAAATACATGCACTAGCTGCAGCCTGTGAAGGAAGCGTATTGCAGCCCAAGATAGCTGCAAATTACTGAATAATTCAAAAGGCTGAGTAAACTTGAACTGCCTTCACAAAGCAGGAGGATACAAGTCATAATGATCAGGCCAACGTAAACACACTAAATAGGGGTCTATGGTGTGGAAACATGCGCTGCAAACCAGGTATATGTGCTTTTTGTGTGTGTGTGTGTTTCCATTTCATTGGCAATTTTGTGTTTTTTTCTTAGTCATTCATCTATAGTATTTTTCTTTTTCTTTTTAAATTTCAGTACATGCCTTATGTTATTCAGTGCTAGCTCTGAAGTATACCTTTAGTAATACTGTAGTATTTGAAAGAGTCGATTCTTTGTATTTTAGGAATGTCCACCCCAGGGCATTCAGGGGTATGTTTTTCTACACAACTGTCTGCGCAGAATTACAAGAGGGCATCTTTTTGTCCAGCCTAACACTGCACATGGTTGTCTCTCCCTGAGGGACTCCATTACAGTTAGTTTAGTCAAAGAAAAACATCCGCCTATAGCTGACTGCAGAAGTAACAGCATAGTTCCAACGACAGGAAAAACAGATTGCCTTTGTCATCAAAGTAAAATCCAAATGGCTGTGAGTTTCACAGTTGTTGTGCTGTTGATATCTTGCGGACTGTACGGCGATTGTGGCCATTTGAGCGCTGCTGACACTGCTCCAGCTGTAG